CTAGCTTGTCGTAGATGGGCGGCGCTTTTCCAGGCGAGATGTGTGTTTCAACTAATGCTACCATCTGATATTGCTTGCCTGGTCCTGCCAACCATTTCTCCGACTGTGGCCCCCATTGAGTAATGTTGGAGAAGAACAGGGAATGGTCAGACAGCGGGGGCTTCGTAGGGCCTTCGTCTTGGTAGGCGGGACTAGGGTCGGCTCTCGGGCTGCTGGGCTTCCATGGCCCTTTCCCTGCGGGCGTGTCGACAGCTTTCGCCATCTCATCGCCCCCTACCAAGGACTGCGTCTTGGGCGGGGCGGCATCAGGGTTTGCCTTTGGCGAAGGCTCCCCTGGTTCCTGTACCACATGCACGTCGACAGCTTGTGCCGTCTCATCGCTCCCTACCGAGGACAGCGTCTCGGGCGGAGCGGCATCAGGGTCGGACCGCGTAGCACGCTGCGGCTGCCCTGGGTCCCATACCACGGGGTCGACGGTCTGTGCCGCCTCATCGCCCCCTACCGAGGACAGCGTCTCGGGCGGGGCGGTAGCGTACTGCTCGGAAACTGCGAAATCGATGTGGGCGTCCAACTCGGCCAGCTCGTCGAACGGGTCGAGGACTGCGTCCATTGTATTGATGATCAGTGGGTTGTCGTAGATCGTGGTCTCTGACGGTAGGCGCCCCGTCTCACCATTCCGTCCAGGGTCGGGTTGTAGTCGGCTAAAGAGGCTGCTGCGGTCCAGCGGCGGCGGCAGCAGTGGGCTTGCGCATCTGGCTGAGCATCTTCTGTGCCTTGTCTTCGAGGTCGGGGTCCTTGTTGAGTGCAGGTACAGGCTGTGTGGCGTAGCCGCCGTCAGAAGAAGCGCCAGCAGCAGGTGCGGGAGGCTCATCGCTTGGCGCCGCTGGCGGAGAGGGCGCAGTGCCCTCAGCATCCGCTGCGGCTGCCGCTGGGGGTTCGCCTGCTGCAGCCGAGGCGGCGGGCGGTGATCCACCTCCCTCTCTGGCGTGCCCATCCTCGTCAGCGCGCTGCCGCTTGGAGGCGAAGCGCGTGCGCATGGTGCTGGCCTCTGCTCGGAGCTGGCTGATGCGGCTGGCGGTGTTGCCGAAGAGCTCAGTGACCTTGGCCTTGAGCTCCGTGGCAAAGCGCTGTTGCAGGGATTCCCATGCCTGGCGGTCGCAGTCGTCGATGTCGAGGCCTTGGAGATCGAACGCTGCACCCGCTTCGATGGAGATGTCGCCGTCCTCGAGGAGGCTGGTGAGGTTGAAGGTCGGGTTCTGCTGCGACGGCGTAGAAGTAGCTGTGCCGCCCTTGCGGGCGGCTTGGAGTGCGTCGAGAGCCGCTTGGGCCTCCGCCTGGGCTTCAGCCAACTTGTAGGCTGCCTCCTCCGACGCCTGCTTGCGCTCTGTGTACCAGCTGAGCGCCTTCTGCTCGCTCTCCAGCAGCCTCTCCAGGTTGTTCTTGCAGCGGCGCTCCGTAGCCTGGGCGCGGCTGTAGATGTCGTTGAGGTCGGCTGGCTTCTGCGGCTGGGGCGGCGGAATCTGCGACTTGATGCCGTCAATGGCTGCCTTGTCGATGTGGGGGGCGATCGCCTGGAGCTCCGCCAAGATGTCCTCGGCGGAGCGAGCCTTGGGGGTGTCGTTCTTGCTGGCCCACCAGTCGTCGTCTTGGTCCTTGCCGTTGCCCTTGCCACGGCGGCGGCGGGACTTGGGCCATGATGACCACGGCTCCCAACCTCCCTCGGGGCTGGACTGCTGGGTGCACTTGGCCTCGGCCTGGGCTGCGGCTGAGACACGGGCCGCCCAAGCACCTTGCACCGGAGGCGGGGCATCTGTCCACGGCGCCAAAGCTTTGCCACACCAGTAGCACGTCTGCTTGGTCTTCCAGTTCCAGGCGTACGAGCAGGAGTAGCACTTGACGTAGCCGCTGCGCTGCTGCGGAGGCGCCATGGACGAGCTGAGGAACAGAGAAAGCTCACCTGCGGGCGGCAGGAGGCACACGGAGCGTTGAACAAAACTGTCGGGCTAGAGAGCCCTGGCACTGGCCGCGGACTAGCGGTATCCACTTGTTCCCCTGCGGAACTAGGCATCTTGAGCCAAAATGGCTACGGACGCGGCTAGGTGAAGGAGGAGGAGGAGGAGTAGGAGGAGGAAGAGTAGGAGACGGACGAGGAGGACGAGGAGGAGGAGGAGAAGGAGGAAAGTCTGGTGAGGCTTTCCCTGACCTCTGAGTGTGTCTTCGTGCCCCGCCTTGCAGCAGGTCGCCACGAACAGCTGGTAAAGGTAAAGGTCCTCCTCCTCCTCCTCCTCCTCCTCCTCGTCCTCCTCCTCGTCCTCCTCCTCCTCCTCATCATCATCATCCTCCTCTTCCTGACACCTTAACGTTGCCTCAGACCTGGGGGCCAAGGATGCATGAGCTGTGACCGGCGGCGGGCGGGGAGGAGAAGCGAGAGGGAAAAGGCCCACTCGGAATGCGGCGGGACTCCTCCGGAGCCCCCGCGCCTTCCGAACAGGTTTCTGTTTTCGGGAAAGACTGGGAAAAGGCCGGGGGAATCCCAAGCCTTCCGAGAATGCCCGCCCCTTTCCTCGTCCCCCCCATGCTCGCCGCCGATGTCAGCCGTGGATCAGTCCACATCCACCGCCCGGGGAAGCAGTCTCCCGCGACCCCCGGGGGGCGGCGGTGTAGATCTACGCGGGGGGCCCAGGGCGGCCGATATGTATCGACAATTACCCGCCGCCTTTCGACTCGGGGTTCCCGAGCTCCAGGCAGGTCGGCTCCCTGGGCGGTGGGTGCGGAGCACTCTGAGCCCCGGATGAGCGCACTCGCCCGCCCTTTTCCAGTGCTTGGTCATGCCGGGCCTGTCTCCCACAATCGCGGGATCACGCGAAGTCAGGCAGAGATGTGGGCGAGGGTGGACCATGCCGGAAAGGAGGGGGAGCAAGACAAGAGGGTAGACAAAGAGAGAGAGAGAGAGAACAAAAAAAAAAAAAAAGAGAAAGAGAGATAACAAAAAAGAGGAGAGGAGAGGCGAGGCGAGGAGAGGAGCTTGGCGCCATGCACCGTGGTCCCTCGAGTTTCGTGCACGTGTTTTTTCGCGCCATCAGCCGTGGCCTTGCACTGCGGCCGGTGTCCTGGAGCATTGTTTGGTCGCGGTGGGCCCGGATCTCGAGGCGGACTCTGCCAGGCTGCCATGCGACGACGAGCAAAGACGGACAACGGTCGGAAAACGATGGCAAAACCTCGATGGTCGAACAACGAACCTCGATCATGTGCCGTCCTCTGCCGGAATGAAAGACCATCCCTGGGAGGAAATCTGCGCAAGTCGCAAAAAGGCCTTCGTCAGTCTGGAGGCCTGCTTGGGCCGTCGGGGTGTCATCTTCATGGCCTAGTGGGCCGTCTTGCCGGTCACAAATTACAGCTGCGCCGGCAGCCCCCCGCGTCCGGAGGCGCCCGCGCCCTCTTGACAAGGGGTGCGACGCCCCCTGCGCCACCCAGCCTGGCGGTGCCAGTCTGAGCCGACGCGCGGGGCGCCAGGGAAGCAGGCGCGCCCGAGAGCGGAAAGGCGGGGCGAAAGCGCGCGCCGTCCGCGACGGCGGGACGCAATCGCCAATGCCTGCAGGATGCAAGCGCCAAAGCCTGCACCCAGCGCGACTCCGAGGCGCGCCGTGAGCCGCCCCGGCGGGGCCCCCGAGGCGCGCCAGCACGGAGCGCGCACCGCGAGGCAAGCAGAACAACGAGCGGCGACGCGCGCGCGCGCGCGCCGCGTGCCCACGCCCCGCGCGCGCGCGAGTCTTTCACGCGGGGCCGCGCCCAGCGGAACGCATGCCGTCGCCCCGAGCGCGCGCGGGCCCCTCTTGCGGGGCCGCGCGGCGCGATGCACATGCGCCTTGCGAGGGCATCCCGCGCCCGCGGCGCCGAGGCCGCCTTGCCTTGCCGCCGTCCCACAGTGGGAGGAAGAGAAGGAGGAGGAGGAGGAGAAGGAGGAGGAGGAGGAGGAGGGATGCGAGGAGGAGGAGGAGAAGGAGGAGAGATAGCCCCCCTCGTGCCCGCGAGCCCTTCGCGCGGGGCCGCGCGCCGCGAGGCGCAGAATAGGTGGGAGGCGGCCGGTGCGCACAGCTCGCGCGCCCGCGCGCGGGCCATGCGCGGGGGCGGAAGTGGTGCCCGCGCGCAGCGCATGTCAAGTGTGCGCGCGCGTTCGGCGGCGCCGTGGGCCCGCATGTGGGGGGACTGTTGGGCCGTCAGCGAGTATGGCCTTTCGAAGCCCTCTTGAAGTTCTTTTTGGATTTTTGGTGTGCGCGCGCAACGCATTTCAAGTGTGCGCGCGCTGTCGGCGGCGGTGTGTGCCCGCATTTGGGGGGACTGTTGGGCCGTCAGCAAATATGGCCTTCCGAAGCCTTCTTGAAGTTCTTTTTGGATTTTTGGTGGGACTGTCTCGGGGCCCTCTTGGGCCCTCCTGGGGCCGTCCTGGGCCGCTTCGGGGGCGAGGGCCTTCTGGAAGCTGTCTTGGCGTCATCCTGGGCCGTCTTGGACGCCTCCGATAACCCCCTTGGGCCTCTCTTGGGAGACTTTGGGGGGCATCTTGGGTTCGCTTTCGGCCGTTTTGGGGCTCTTTTGGACACATTGGGGGCCCTATTGTGCCGTCTGGGGGCGCCTTCTGGGTGCCTCTTGGGCAGTCTTGGGGCGGTGTCGGGCACGTGTCGGCACTGGACGCTGCTAGGACTAACAAAGCAACACTGGTGCTTTGGGGGGAATGGGGCGATGTGTTGCTTCTGACCATCTTGGGGGCCTCTTGGCACCGCCTGTTGCCCGTTTGCACGGGTCGGCAGGGATCCTCAAAGGCCCAGGAGTCCCGGGTGGCCCTGTCAAGGAGCGTCCAAAAGGACCCTGGGACCGGGGACGCGTAGTGGGTGGGGTCGTCGGGGTCCGCTCAGGGGGGGGGGAAAAATATACAAGGAAAAAGAGAGATAGAGGGAAAGAGAGAGAGAGAGAGACAGAGAGAAAGAGAGATTGAGAGAGGGAGGGATACAGAGAGAGAGGGAGATCGAACCACTGAGACACGCGTGTCCGCAGGCCGCCGGGCAAGCGCGGCGCGCCCGCCGCTCACAGGCCATAGCCCTTCGGCAACAATGGGCCATTCACGCCATCTTGGGCGGTCGACCGTCTTGGGAGGAGAGAGCGTGAGGGGGCGAGAGGGACCCCTACCCAGCAGAGCAGTGGTGTACTGTGACCGTTGCCTCGCAGCCGTCCGAGTCTCACCTGTAGGGTAAGGCGAAGCCTGCACCCGTCTGTGGCATGACGGTGCCTCGCTGACAGTGGCGGCATCCAGCCAGCACCCCTTCAGGACCCGCAGAGGCGGCAGGCCACCAGTGGACGCTTGCCAGGCGGCGCACGGGCCTCGACGAGAAGCTTCGCTGAGGGCGCCCATGTCGAGGGACAGGTGGTCCGAGGTGGACTGGACGCGGTCGAGTGCTCGTGCGAGCTGCGTGACTTCGATGGTGTCAGCAGGCTGGGCTCGGGTCGGGCGAAAGGGGGGATAGCAAAGGAGGGGGTTGAGAATCAGCTCACGTAGCTGATCTTCCTGGCGCCGGAGGCGGCTATGTATCGAGGAATGGGCCCCTCGGTGGGGCCGAAACCAGCTGCATGCAGCACATTTTTTAACCCCACCTTTCCCAATTCCCCCCTCTCGTCCGGCCCGGTGGGCCCTGTGGGGGAAGGGCGCTGCCCGAGGCGGGCCTTCCCCCCTGCGCGGGCCGGCCGGGGGCGGCCCCGCGCTGCCGCGTTGTCGACTGCTGCGAGGCCGGGGCTCCTCGGCAGGGCGCTGCAGTCCGGAGGAGGCTGAGCCGTCTCCGACGCGCCGTGGGTGGAGCGCTGAGCGGGGCCTCTGTGTAGAGGAACAGAAAATGGCATAAACATAAAAACTCGGAGGTCCGCGCGAATTTCTCGGATCCGCGCTGGGGCCCCCCGGCGGCGCCTCCGGCGCCGCCCTTGGCGCGCTCCGCGCGCCAGGGAGGGGGGTCCAGCGCCGATCCGAGAAATCCTCGCGGACCTCCGAGTTTTTATGTTTATGTCATTCTTCGTTCCCCTTGGGCGCTGGTGGGGCCTCCAAAGGCGCTGCCGGGCTCGTTGAGTGTGGCATGCTCCCGGCCGCTCGCAGCAGAGGCGGTGGGGCAGAGCGCCTGGGACCCGGGGTCCTCGTGAGGAGGCTGCGTCAGGGCCTTTCGCGGGACGGGGCCTTAGAGAGAAAGGGAGAGAGAGGGATAGAGCGAGAGAGAAAGAGAGAGAGAGAGAGAGAAACAGAAAAAAGAAAGAGAGGAAGAAAGAGGAACAAGCATAGAACAGAGAAAGGGGAGGGACAGAGAGGGAGAGAGGCAGAGGGAGAGAGAAAGAGAGAGAGAGAGAGAGACAGCGGGTTGGACAAATATGGACAAAGAGAGAGAGAGAGGGAGAGAGAGAAAGAGAGAGAGAGAGAGCGAGAGAGAGAGTGGAAGAGCGACAGATCTATATATATATAGAGAGATATTGCGAGAGAAAGAGAAAGAGATACACATGTTTACATACTTGTATACACGTATGTGGTATTATATATATAGTACTAGAACCATCGCGCGTTTCGCGCACACTCAAGTTCTAGCTCGGCTTGATCGGCCAACTCCGGTAATCGCATTTTGGTCGCTTCTTGCGTCCAGAGACTCCCTTAGAGGCCCTGCGCAAGCCTCGGAATCGTATAGAAGGGGAAGTGCGGAAACGCAGGAATCATTAAGTGCCTGTCGGTGTTCAACGATTTGGGGCCCTCAAAAGGTTCCTGGGTTTTTGGGGGGAGGTGAGGGGGTCTGAATTGTGGTCTGTTGTGCAAGAGTAGACCGGGGGGCCAAACTTGAAAAAAAATGGAATTGTGGGATTTCAATGTTTTCCAGTTCCTCGGCGCTGTTCGGCGCTGTTTTTTGTTTGTGCCTCGCGGGTTTTGTTAGCCAGGCCCCTCAGGGGTGTGGGACCTTCCGGACCCCGTGGGGGTTCTGGAGGCCTCCTCGAGGCCTGGAGAGCCATCGGAAGGGTGTCTCGGGCTGCGCGGGAGCGTGTTGGGCCGTTCTTTACGTTCCAGGATCTCCTTCGGGTCGTCTTGGGCTGTCCTTGGGCGTCTTGGGGGCCCCCCGGGAGGTGCGGTACTGGCCAGATGTCAGGGGATGTGTGGGATCTCTGAGTCGGAGTCCCACTTTGAAAAAAAGGAAATTCTGGGAATTCCCTGTTTTTCCAAAAATCCTCGATCTTCGAGGGTTGGAAGCGGGGAAAACGTCAGAAGGCGAAAAATATTAGAAAAACCACGGGAAATCAACAAGGTTACTCTCTTTGGGCTCTCTCGGGACGGCTCTCGCAGCTCTCTTGGGCTGTTCTTGGAGCCTCGTCGGGGTCTTTTTGGGGCCTCTCAGGGATCGGGGGTGTGTTGGGAGCCTCTGGGGGGTCCCGCGGAGGCCTCTCGGAGGTCTCTGGAAGCCTCCCGCTCCCGCTCGTAGGCCCATTTTGGGCCTGTTCTGGGGTGGTCTGGGGCTGTCCTGGGCGCCTCTTTGGCAGTCTTGGAACCTTCTTGGCTCGTCTTGGGGCCGTCCTGAGGGTCTTTTGGGTGGTCTTGGGGCGGTCTTGGGAGCCTCTTCGGCGCTCTTGGACCATTGGAAGCTCGAAAACGCGAGAAGCCAAAAACGGATTTTAAAAAAATGAAACATCCACGATTGTTTGGACTCTTCGGGCCGTCCCGGCACGCCTCTCGGACCTCTCTTGGGGTCTCTTGGAGGCCACCTGAGAGCCTCTAGAGCCGTCGGAAAGCTGACTTGGGCTGCTTGGGAGCGTCTTAGACCATCCTTTTCCATTCTGGGGGCTCCTGGGAGGCGTCTTGGGCCCTCCTGGGGCGCTGTGGAGGCTCCCCGGGAAGGCCTCTTGGGCTCCTGGGGGGCGTTCTTGGGCAGTCTAGGCGTCTCGTGGGCCGTCTTGGCCTCCTCGTGGGCCGTCTTGGAGCCCTCCTGGGGGCATCCTCGACCGTCTTGGGTGCCTCTTGGGCCGTCTTGGACGCAGTGGAAGCCCAAAAGGCGAACACACCGAAAACATCAGTTTCCCCTAAAGAAAATCGACCATTTGCACTTTTCTGGGAGGTCTATTGGGGTGCCTCTTGGGGCGTCTTCGGGGCCTCTTTTGGTGCTTTTTGGGGTCTCATGGGGGCCTCTTGGGGCTTCTTGGGCGCTTCTTGGAGCCTCTGGGGGTCTCCTGGGGGTCTCTTGGGCCAAAAGGCGTGAATTTCCCGTTCCTCGTCCCCCGTCTTGGGCGCCGCCTTGGGGCGTTCTTGGGCGGTTTGGGCGCCTCGTGGGCCGTCTGGTCTGGGCCCCCTCGTGGGCCGTCTTGGGGCCCTCTTGGGGGCATCCACGGCCGGCTTGGGTGCCTCTTGGGCCGTCTTGGACGCAGTGAAAGCCCAAAAGGTGCACACGCCAAAAACAGCAGTTTTCCGATAGGAAGACTACGACTTTTGCTTATTGGGGCTCTCTCGGGGTGCATCTTGGGGCGTCTTCGGGGCCTTCGGGGCCTTCTTGGCGTCATGGGAGACGTCTTCGGAGCGCGTTGTCGAGCGTTCCGAAGCCATCTTCGGGCGATCTTGGACGCCCCCCGGCGCTCTGGCGGGGCTCCCGGCGCGCCGGGCCCCACATTTGCGGTCGGGGCCGCGACCCCCGGCCCCTGGACCCGGCCGGTCCCCCGTTACAGTTATATGTACACACATACATACAGGCATACATGCATGCATCTATATATATATATATATATATGTGTGTGTGTATGTATGTATGTATATATATATATATACATACATACACGTACACATACAATATACATTTACATGCGCACACAGATGTATACATATATATATATGCACATATATACATATATATATATATACACTAGAACCATCGCGCGCGCGCTTCGCGCGCGCTCAGGTTCTAGCCCAGGCCGGGGGGGCGCTGGACGATCTTGGACAACGCTATCAAGCACAGGCGCGCGACGGCATCTGAGGAGCTTCTGGGGTGTTCCGCATGCTTCGTCAACTTGCTGTTGGAGGCACCTCTTGGGTGCTTCTTGGGGGGGGCGTCTGAGGGTCCCTTGGAGGCATCGATTCTGCAATCTGAAGCCGTCATTGGCCGTCTTGGTTGCGTGGAGGCCCGACTTGAGGCCACCTGCGGCCAGATTGAGGCAATCCGGAAGCCTCCCGGAGGCCTCCTGAAAGCAGTTTTGACGCATCGAGGGCACTCTTGGGCTATTTTAAAGCCTCTTGGACGTCTCCTAGGTCCTAGGGGCCTTTTAGGCCCTCGGGAAGCTTTTGGGGTCCTCGTCGGACCACTTGGGGGCCTCTTGCGGCCTCTGTGGGCCTTTTGGGGGGAACGCTCTGCTGTTGGGTCGCGTTCCCCTTCTTGGGCCTCTCTTGGGGCTCTTGGGGCCCTCTCGGGCCGTCTTGGGCGCCTCCAGCACCGTCTCGGGGCCCTCGCGGGCCGTCTTGGGGCCCTCTTGGAGGCCTCTTCCTCTAAATTGGAGCGGTATTGGAAGCCTCTTGGGCCGTCTTGGAGCATCGGGATGCCACAAGGCCGAAAAAAGTAAAACCCATCAAAGACCAATCGTAAAACAATGAGTTGTGCCTCTTGGGGCCACCTTGGGAGATCTCTTGGAACCTCGTCGGCCCTCTTGGGAGCTCCTTGGGGGCCTCTTGGATCCGATTGGGGGCCTCTTGGGACTTCCCGAGAACCTCTCGGGGTAGAAAGCTCGGATTCTCGGTTCGTGTTTCCTTTCTTGGGCCTCTCTTGGAGCCGTCTTGGGGCCTTCTCGCGCCGTCTTGGGCGCCTCAGGCACCGCCTTGGGGCCCTCGTGGGCCGCCCAGGGCCCTCTTGGAAGCCTCTTCGGCTATCTTGGAGCTGTCTTGGAGGCCTCTCCCTCCTCCTCGTCCCCCTCCTCCTCCGCCCACTCCAGCTCTCTCTCCTCCTGATCTTCCTCCTCCTCCTGCAGCGTGTTCCGGAAGGTTCCCGCCGGAACATGCTGTGCACAAGTGCTGTCACTGCTCCCGCCACCGTGCCCTGGGTGTTGGGTCAGAGGCCTCATGGGTGTTGGTTTGGATCTCGTGGTTGGCCTGTCGGGGACGTCGTGAAGGCAGTTTCGCAGCTTCTCGGTAGCCTTTTTGGGACCGTTGTGGGGCCTCCTCGGGGCTGTTTTGTGGCCTCTTTAGGCATCGTTTGGGCCTCCTGGGTGCATCTTGGGGGCCTCCTGGGGCCTCTTGGGGGCTCCTTCGGGCCTCCTGGGGCACTCTTCAAGCGGGAGGGTCGAATTTTGGAGTCGTGGTTCCTCTCTTGGGCGCATCTTGTGGCCGTCTTGGGGCTCTGTTGGGCTGTCTTGGGCGACTCTGGGGCCGTCTTGGGGCCCTCTTGGGCCGTCTTGGGGCGCTCTTGGGGGCCTATTGAGCCGTCTTGGAACGTCGGACAGCCGAAAAGGCTGGAAGGCCAAAATCGTTCGAAAACCTTCGTAAACTTAACCATTTCGGCCTCTTGAAGCGCTCTGGAGAGGCGTCTTGAAGCGTCGTGGAGTGCCTTGGGGGGCCTCTCGGGCCGTCTTGGGCCTATCTTCGGCGTCCTGGAGCGGTCTTTCGGCGACTCGGGGCCCGCTTGGGCCGTCTTGGGAACCTCTGGAGGCCCTCCTGGACTACTTTGGACCTCCCCAGCCGCCCCGTCCTCCCATAGGGGGGTCGGAGGCGGCGGCCTCCGAGGCCCAGGACGCGGAAACCATGTAAAAAACACAAGGGAAATGAGCCCTGGTACCCCCATATGGAAGGTCGAGGCAGCTGTTTTCGGGCCTGCTCCCAGGCCCTGAGACGCCGAAACCCTATAAAAAATACAAGGAAAATGAGCCCCGGAGCCCCCTGGAACCGTCGCTGGCGCCTCGGAGGCCCTGGAACGGTGGCGCCTCCGAGGACCTGGAACGCCGAAACCCTGTGAAAACACAGGGAAAGTGAGCCCCGGAGCCCCCATGGGGGGCGCAGGCACACTCCTGGCGGCCTCCCTCGGAGGCCCTGGAACGCCGAAGCCACGTACAAACACAGGGAAAGTGAGCCCCAGAGCCCCCATGGAGGGCGCAGGCACACTCCTGGCGGGCTCGGAGGCCCTGGAACGCCGAAACCCTGTGAAAACACAGGGAAAGTGAGCCCCGGAGCCCCCATGGAGGGCGCAGGCGCACTCCTGGCGGCTTCCCTCGGATGCCCAGGGACGCGGAAACATGGTAAAAACGTAGGGAAAGTGAGCCCCGGAGCCCCCTTGGAGAGCGCAGGCGCACTCCTGGCGAGCTCGGAGGCCGTGGAACGCGGAAGCCCTGTAAAAGCACAGGGAAAGTGGGCCCCGGACCCCCCATGGAGGGCGGAGGCACACTCCTGGCTGCCTGGCCCCCTAAACCTGGGTATATATATATATATATATATATAACATACATGTACATATACATATACACACATATATATATATATACACATTTATTATGTATGCATATATATATATATATATATATATATATATTCCCCAATCAGAGCTTGCCTCTGTAGGGGTCCTAGCGGATTCATATGGTTAGTTAGGTGAGGTGCGGCGCCGATTTCGGCGGCACGCCCAGGCGCCCGGGTGCCCAGGTGTCCGGGTGCCTGGTAGCCCTATAGCCCTATAGCCGTATAGCCTTATAGCCATAACGCCCTATAGCCCGCCCTGTAGCCCCAATAGCCCTATAGCGCAATAGCCCTATAGCCCTGTAGCCCTACAGTGGGGGGCTCGGCCAGAAGAAACCTCCGCAAGAAACCCAAGCCTAAAATTCGCTATTTGCTCAGTGAAAACCCAAATTTGTCCAAGAAACCCAAGGCACCCTGGCAAAATCCAACTGGTTTCTGGGCACACGCCCCCACTGTATAGCCTTATAGCCTTATGGCCCTACAGCGCTATACCCCTACAGCCCTATAGCCTTATTGCCCCATAGCCCTATAGCCTTAACGCCCTATAGGGCTATAGCCCTATAGCGCTATAGCCCTAGAGCAATAGAGCCCTACAGCCCTAATAGCCCTATAGCCCTATAGCCCTCGAGCCTTATAGCCTTATAGCCTTGTAGCCCTATAGCCCTATAACCCTATAACCATATAACCCTGTAGCCCTATAGCCCTATAGCCCTATAGCCCGATAGCCCCATAGCCCTGTAGCCCTATAGCCCTATAGCCCCATAGCTCTATAGCCCTATAGCCCTACAGCCATATAGCCCTACAGCCCCATAGCCCAGTAGCCCTAAAAAGATTATGATCGGGCTTTTCTCAGGTGTCATTCAACATTATACAGACATAGAGAAAAAAACAGGAAACAAGGACCGGGGAGAGATAAGAGCCATGGCGTCACCCCGGCATCGCCGGGACGCGGCAGCGGGACGGTGAGATCGGCATGGGCGATCAGCGATTCGCCATCCCCCAGAGCTACCACCTGTGAAGGGGACCAGGTACACACAAATAAATAAACCCAAATCCCAGAAACCCCTTCTAATTATCCACATCTTCTGAATGGTCGTCTTCCCCTACACTTTACCATATGTTCCTATATTTGTCTGGGGATCGACGTTAAATTCTGTCTTTGTCTTTTGTCCCTCCTGAACCTGGGCCGCTGGACTCCACCGTCAATGCCTTGGAGCAGCTCACGAGTCGGCCACATCGATGATGAGTTCGGCGTGGGCGACCAGCGGTCCGCCCTCCCCAAAGTTGCCCAGGTCGCTGAACTCCACCGTCAGCGCCACGCCGACGGAGCGACAGGCCTCGGAGTAGTAGCGGAGCCTCTGCAGCTGGTGGTTCAAGTTCTTCAGGGTGGACCTTAGGCCCTTGGTCGTTCTGAGAAGACACGCTGGAGGCGTTTTTTGCATGTGGCTCGTTTTCAAGATTGACGTGCGTTTATCCGCTCTGGGTCCCGTTTCGAAATGTGTTGTCAGGTATGGGATCGGCCCGTGGTCCACCTGTTTGCTTGTGTCCTGTCCAGTTCCGTTGCGATGTGTTTTGATAACGTTCTTCACACCTCCTCATGCTGCCTGACTGACGCCCGCTTCCTGGGTGCTGTTTTTTCCGTTCTGGTCGCGTCAACAGCGGAAAGTGTAGAAAGAAAAAACGCCCACGACGCGTTCAACAACAACTAAGGAGTGGACAGAGCTTCAACGTGTGGATCCCTGCTGCCATCCCCGGCCCAGAAGGTCATGCCCTCCCTGCCGGCGATCGACCCGTGCTGCGCACCGTTCACGTAATCCCGGTCGCCGTACTCGCCAAAGGACAACGACCCGCAGGTCACGTTCAGGCCCATGCGGCCAGAGTGAGTGCGGTCTGCAAACCTCGGGTGCATCAAGGAGGGTGGTGACGATGCCGATGAGGACGACGCATCGTCATCGTCATCGCCATCGCCATCGCCAAGAGAACCCTGAGATCCGGGCGCTGCAACGTGTCCACGCTGGGCACAGTCGCCCGGGCTCGGGCCCCAGGACGAGCACAGATCCCTCGGGCCTGGACAGATGCCGCAGACAGATCGGGCCTGGGGCCCCCGTGCGAGGGAGGCCACGAGGCCTCCCCCGAGAAACAGAACAGAGGGGGCACGACGTCGGGGAGCGATCGCACGGCCCCGGCCACGATCCCCACACACACCCCTGGTCTTTTCGGGGATGGACAGACCCCCCTTTAGCAAAACGTGGTTTCGTGAAAACGACCTGAGGCCCAAACCTGGCGGGCGCAAGCGTGGAAAATGACGGCCACGACGCCCTCTCGAGAACCGAAAACGGACAACTCACTAATCGACGTGTCACTGCTGGGGGTTCTGTCCAGCCCCGGTCTTTACCCTCCTTCTCGACCGGTCGGGCTTCGGGCTCCGCCCCTGCAGGCAGTCCTCCTGGCAGGCCTCAAGAGGCTCCCCGTGCGGCCCGGAGCGGCCTCCACACCGCCGCTGCGGGCGCCCCAAGGATGTGCACCACCATCCCCACCTCCACTCCTCCTCCCTCCTCGTCCTCTCCTCGTCCTCTCCTCTTGCGTGGGAGAGGAATGGGGGCGAGGGAAGTGGTGGTGCTGCGAACTTCTGAGCCCCGTATACACACCTCCAGGGGCGCCGCCGGAGGCGGCGCCAACGTGCTGAGACCGCCAGAGAGTATACTCGGTGGGCCTGTTGAGGCCAGCCGGTGCTACCTGGGAGGGCCTGACTGGGCGCAACCCGAAGCCTCACCATTCTCGACGCCCCCCACAGCCATCCGAAGAAGTCCTCCTCGTCTGGGTCGCTGAGGAGGAAGACCCCCGCCAGGGACACGTTCCGCTGTGGGCTCATGGTGGGCCCGCCGAGCGCGCGCTCAAGCTGCGCGTGGTCTACGCGGATGGCCGGCGGCGAGTTGACGGGGTGCACGACGATGCCGACGTCGCAGCGGGCGCTCTCCCCGCGGGCGATGACGGTCACCTCGAGGCCGAGGTGAATGACACCGTGGAAGAGCACTGGGTACGGCGTGAACGCCACCGCGGCGAGGACGTCCCGGAGGCCACCGATGGTAGTCTCGAAGACAATCGCCGGCACCGGCGCAAAGGTGTCATTCATGAGGCTCTCCTGCAGAGAGGGGGAAGTGGGTGGGGCGGGGTGGGGTGGTGGTGTGTATGTGCGCATGTGTGGGCGCGTGTGTAAATTTTTGTGCGCAGTCATTATGTACATGGTGGTACGCGCGAGTGTTTGGGTGCGTGTGCGTGTGTGGGCTCCGTGGACGTGAATACAGCCGAAGGTAGGATGAAGAACGCTACCACTCAAGAAACCCAGGCCAACTTGCCAGGAGGTTCTCAAGACAAACCTGGGCAAAGTGTTCGTGTTAACGCTGAAAAGGCGAAGGAGCTCAAGAGACTGGGCCAGCATTCTGGCAAACGCTGGCCCAACTTGTCGGGGGGGAGATGGTTTAAGATGCTCGACCGTACGTGTGTGTGTGTGTGTGGGTGTGTGCGTGTGCGTGTGCGTGTGCGTGTGTGGGGGAGGAGGGGGGCAAATCAAGGTCATCCTCTCCCAGACATCTCGTTTCCCACAGATTAGGCCTGGGCATGTCGCTTGAGGCTGCTTAAGAATCTACGACCCAGAAGATCAGAACCTGCATTTGAATAGACAAAAAGCCAAATACGTTTCAGGATACTGCTCTCAGCCGGGCGCCGCGCAAAGTTCATTAACGCTTCGAACAACCACGAGGATTGAGGCCAGGCGGCTCCGCAGAATTCGTAAAACAATTCTCAACAGCCGCAAAGTTCTCACCTTAGCGCCGCAGATGCAGGGATGGAGGCCCCCATCTTTTCAAGACGTGGGCATCGCCTGAGCGCCGCGCACTTTCGTTTCGTGAGTCTTCGAAATGCCGGTCTCGCCTGAGGCTTGCCTATGATATATTGCCACGAAAGTAAGGTTGTGCAACAACAAGGAGGGGGTGCGGGTCCTTTTCAAAAGGGGGCTCTTGCCCGACATGTCGCCCGATTGTAAAACCAGAACTTGCAAGCGTTGCAACGCCTGCACGGAGGGAGGGCGGTTCCGTTTCAGAGCGGAGCTCTCGCTGGGCACTTCCTTGAACTAAAACCCACCATGCCGCACAGTCGAGGCGTTGACCTGAGGAACCCTAAATAAGGAACGAGGCCCCCTTATCCCACAAGTTAAACTTCGATTTCCCATGGAAAACCCGAGGCAAACTGTAAAACAATCAAGGAACACCGAACCCCTCGCCAACGAGAAGGGTTCCTTCTTCAGCGCCCCGACTGTACTCCCTGCAGCTCGAAGGATGGCTGGCGGCTTCCCTCTCTCACACGGAGCTCCTACCCGAATGGCAAGGCGCATGGGGCGCTCGTCGTTCCAGGGGGGGGGGGGGCGCTCGGCGCAGTGAAAAGGCATGCCTCTAATGACTACGTGATAAGGGGACTTGGGACAGGTGGTCGTATTGCATACAGTCGGGGCGTTGACCTAAGGAACCCTAAATAAAGAACGAGGCCCCAATTTTCCATAAGTTAAACTTCGATGTCGTATCGAAACCCTGAGGAACATCCAAGGCAAGCTGCGAAACACTTCAGGAACATGGAGCCCCTCCCCAACGAAAAGGGTTCCTTCTTCAGGGCCCCGACTGTACCGTTGATGCAGCTTGGGCTCACTCTGGGTGTCATGTTGACTTTGTGCCAATCGAGCAAATGCAGCAGGCCATGCCCTGGCGCCCACGGACAAATGCCCAAGCCAAGCACTTAAAAGAGAGCATCCACATCTGTCGCCGTCGTCAGCGGGTGGGCTCACCCGTTCGGGAGCAAAAGCAGCATGCTGCCTGCACTTGATCCAGGCACGTTCTTGAGCGGAGCCCTGAACCAGAAAGCAATCTACAGCCATGAGCCTATTCGACGTGTGGCCGCTCTCCTCCTCCCCCCTCCTGTTCCTCCCCGCTCCTCCCTCCTCCTCCGCGCCCTCGTCCCGCCCCCTCCTCTCCATCCTCCCTTCTCCTCCTCCACCTCCTCCTCCTCCTGCTCTTCGTTCCCTCTCACCTCCCCCCTCCCCTCTCTCCCCGTAGCCATTTTGTGACCCGTGCCGCCCGCAGCGGGCAGCCCCCCCGTGGCTCGAGCACGCCTGGCATATGGGCGTCCAGATCCTCTGCCGATGGTGGCCCCTCCTCCTCCTCCTCCTCCTCCTCCTCCCTCCTCCTCCTCCCCTGCCTCCTCCTCCTCCTCCTCCTCCTCCTCCTCCTCCTCCTCCTCCTCCTCCTCTCCTCCTCCTTCCTCTCCTCTCCTCCCCCTCCCCCTCCCCCTCCCCCTCCTCCTCCCCTCCTCCTCCTCCTCCTCCTCCTCCTCCTCCTCCTCCTCCTCCTCCTCCTCCTCCTCCTCCCCAGGATGGCTCACCGAGCGGCTTCCGGCTGCTCGACGCCAAAACTCGACGTGACTAGACACACGCAGCAGCGGACAGAGCGGTGCGCAAGCAGGCGGATGAGCTAGCTGGGGTCAGAGACGAAGATGCCGCCCTCCTTGGCGTCATGAGTGCGTGATCGAAGTCGGATCTGAGCTGCCCCATGCGCAACACACAACACGTCCCGTACGCATGCGGACCTCAACAAGTAGGCTGAAAACGTAGGCCCGACTCGATACATTCGCCAAGACGTAGACCAACACGTGGAGCCAGCACGCAACGCATTGACACGGACGCCTCGAACACGGGACGTGCGTGCTGCGTTTCAAAACGCGCCTACCGAGGCAACTAAGAGTCGGATGGCCAGGTGCTGGGCGGGCGGTTGGCGGTCATTCCCGCCCTGCTCGCGACACGGGAGGGCAACTTGGAGGAGTCCGCCACGGCTGCGCCAAGAGGGCGGCTGCGCTGCCCCGGGAGGTCCCCGGGCACGGGAGCGGCCTCGAGAGATCGGCGCGGAAGCCGGCGAGTGCTTGAGCCGGAGGCGGCAGGCCCGCAACGGGAGCGGATAGGGGGCCACGTGCGGACCCTACCCCTACCCCCCACGATTTCGGAGGGGGAGGGTGGGGTTCACTTCGCTCGGGAAATGAAGCGAACTGAGGGGGAGGGTGGGGTTCACTTCGCTCGGGTGGGGTTCACTTCGCTGAGGGGGAGGGTGGGGTTTACGAGCGAAGTGAGCCCCACCCTCCCTCTCAGAACTCGTGGGGGGTAGGGGTAGGGTTCGCATGTGGCCCCCTAGCGGGCCGATGGCAGCGGCGACCTGGATGTCGAGGTGGCCGCGCAGAGGTTGGCGCCCTTTGACGACGGTGCACCTCCCGCATGGGTCACGGACATCCTCGACGAGGCGTCCTGTATTCAAGTTGGGGTCCGAGTCCTACGATCTCGAATCCACCCAAAGAGCATGGCTTCGCTGTGCTACTCGCATCGCTGGTTTCTGCCGTCCGGTCGACTGTATTCGCGCGGTGGGCATCACCAGCGAGAGGTCCAAGGCGGGGTGGCTTCGAAGGACGCCGATATTGCGAGCTCTGTTTCGATCTGCACCTGCCTGGAGCTGGAGGCACTCTCCGCCACGGCGCACGCACTTGAGAGGACGACGCGGATGACGAGGTCGAACATCGGCCATGGGCACGGGCCCTCGCAGCTCGTGGAGCGACAGCACCTCGCCGCGCCGAGAGCCATGCGTCGACGGGGCGCTCAACCAGGATCCCGTGGAGGCGAACCTCTGGGAGCGCAGCACGGGTGGGGGGTCCAGGGCCGATCAGTTCCAACGCTGGTCCCCCGCGGACCCCCTCGCCTCCACATAAACCGTGGCGCTCATCGAACTCCATGGGATTCCCCTGCCCCCCGCCCCCTCGCATCCCTCCTGCTCCTCCTCCTCCTGCTCCTCCTCCTCCTCCTCCTCCTCATCCTCCTCATCCTACTCCACCTCCTCGTCCTCCTCCTCCTCCTCGAGAAAGAGAAAGACCGGAAAGGTGTGAGCGTGAGCGGATGAGGGAGGGAGGGAGAAGGAGGGAGGGAGGGGCCAACCCTGACCGACTCGAGGCGCGCAGGGGGTCCGGGCAAGTGAAACACCCAAGTCGTCGTCGCCGCCGCCGCCGCCGTCGTTGGGGAACCCAAAAGGTACTGCAACATGGACTGCCGAAGGGGACGACGGGGGCCTCGAGTGGTGCGCGGAACGCCGCCGACGCCACTGGGCCCGGGCGGCTCGGACGCTGCCGCGCATGGCCGGGTTTGCATCGCTGGCCCTGCCAGAGCCTCCCACCCAATGTTGAGCGGGGCTTCCACGCAGCACCCACGGGGTTGAACTCCCGGCCATTCAGGGCATGCAGCCTGGAAGCCTACTGCCCAGACCTCTCCCGGTACGCATTATGACCAGGATTTCGACGCGAATCCAGCAGTGGCGACGAGGGCCTCCCAGGAGGCCCAGAAAGGGGAAAACGGGCGACGGGGAATCAGCGGTGTTGGGTACCCTTTCCTCATCTGACAGTCTTCGCCGTCGCCGCCGCCGCCGCCGTCGACTCCAGATCCACGCCGTTGCCAGCGGAGAGGAGCAGCTGCTGCAGGCTGGCCGAGCCGGCCAGCGCGCCCGGCAGCAGGCGGAGGCTCCCGCCTCCGACAGTCAGCCTGGGGAGGGGGGGGGGCAGCCACGTCGGCGGCGAGCCCGAGGGGGAAGTGAGAAGGGGCGAGCCTTCTCAGAAGGCTTGGAAGGCCCCAGGCCTTCTGCGAACTTTTCTCTCTAAGCCTTCACCCGAATACCCAGAACAAAACTTCTCCAAAGGCTGGAGGGATTCTGAGAGGCCCCGCCGCCTGCCGAGAAGGCCTTCTCCTTGTCACTTCCAGCCCAGGCGCGCTGCCAATCATCAGGACAGCGACGAAAAACACGGTGACGGCGACGGCGTCAACGATGACGACGGCGGCAACGATGACGAGGACCAAGACGACCACAAGCACGACGACGACGACGACGACGACGACGACGACCACGACCACGACGATGGCGACGACGACGACCACGACGATGACGACGACGACCACGACGATGACGACGACCACGACGACGACGACGCCAACGACGACGATGACGACGACGACGACGACGACGACGACGACGACGACGACGACGACGACGACGACATTAACGGCGGCGACGACAACGACGGCGGAATCGGCGAGTTCGGTCATCCCCCGATCTCCCTGACTGGTATGGCCTTGGGGGGCCCCTGGAGCGTGGCGCAACGATGAGCTGGGCTGGCTCAGAGGGACGGAGCATCGGCCTGGAAGCCCCTGCCGTCCTCGCGTCGTGGCGAAAATTGCTGCCTCGGATGTGCAGCCTCTGGGGTCCCCTGCTGGGCCCCAGGGGCGTCAAAATCTGCTCGCGATGAGATGCGAGTGCCTGGGTAGGGGCCCGGAACTCCAGGGAGCCGCGCTGTGAGAAGAACGCGGCGCCGGATGTCTGGAGCGTGGTGCAGCGAGCGCCCCGCGACTGCGAGACAGACGCGAGAGCTGGTGCCAAGGACCACGGCAGGGGCGCACATGGCAAGCTGCCACTTCCCGCCGCCTGCCCCCCCCCAAAACTCGCCATCGCTCCGACGTCCACTCCCCGTGAATTGTGCGGCTTCGCGCGTTCCTTTTCTCCATGCGATGGGCCAAACTGCTTCTCGCTGGCCCTCGCCGAGAAAGAAAAGAATAAGAGGGCTCGGAATTCCCCAGGCCTCCTGAGAAGTGCTCGAAGCCTTCCCCGAAGACACGACAAACTCTCGGGTGGGGTTCACTTCGCTCGGGAGCTCCCGAGCAAAGCGAACCCCACCCTCCCCCTCGGAAATCGTGGGGGGTAGGGGCAGGGTTCGCATGTGGCCCCCTTCCCTGGTCGGGCGGGCGGGTAGCCTGGAGATCCAGAGCATGGAAAACCTCAGGACGGAAGTTTCCGCCCGTAGATGTCGGCCTCCAGAGGGCCCTGCCTGGCCCCGGGACCGTCGACAAGACGGCTCGGGCTGAGGAAAAACGGTCCCGGGGAAGGGGTCGGGACCCCTGGGGGCCCCGCATGGAACAACAAAAACACGACGTTGGCTCTCTGGGAAGGGGGGGCGACCCCCTTGGGGTGGCGAAGACGAGGGCCCTCAAAGGGGCCCTTATAGGGCGCCTCTTTTGGGCCCCTGCTGGCTCCGAGAGGGGCCCGAAAGAGCCCCTTGTAGGGCCCCCTCCTTCCCCCCCCCCCGTTGGGTCACGCCCCGTTGCCACCCGCGCCAGCCCTAAAACTTTTTGGATTCGCGGGTCGAGAGCGCACCTCTTCTGGTCGAAGCTAAGCGGGCCGCGCACAGCTTTAATTCACAGAGGAAGGAAAAAAGAAGGCGGGGCCTCACGTCAAGGCCAAGAGAGGGCAAAGCCCCGGGATCAGGTGGTGCCGAAAGCGAAGTGTATGCAAAGGAACGCCTTGGACAGGATCCCGGAGGCGAAGTACCGGCCAGCCTTACAACAAACCTGGGCCAATCCCTGTGGTTAACGCTGGGGGGGGGGGGGCGAACGTGCTTACGAGACGAAGCCAGTTGGCTGAGAAACGCTGGCCCAGCTCTGCGGGAGGAGGCTTCTGAACCAACTGCTCGACTGCAAAACGTGTGAGGGGTGTGCTGGGATGGGCGTCGGGACGCAGGCACACCCCGCCACAAGAGCCCACGGTGGAGCTGCTTGCGGGGCCACCTAAACGTGTGAGGGGTGTGCCGAAGTCGCCGGAGGGACGGATGCAAACCCTGCCACGAGAGCCCTCGTTGGAGCTCCCTGGGGGGCCACTGAGCGTGTGAGGGGTGTGCCGGCATGGGCGGGGGGACGCACGCGAGCCCTGCCACAGGAGCCTTCGGTGAAGCTCCCCGTGGGGCCACGGAGCATGTGAGGGGTATGCCGAAGTGTGCGCGCGGAGGGCCGAGGCGGGGGGGGAGGAGGGAGGATGGGGGCAGCAATTAGGAGGAGCGGACGCGGGGCGCCGCCTCCTCAAACTGAGGACACAGCACCGCAGGGTGGCGAGGAACGGCTCGGGAGGACGGCCCGACCCTGGGGAAGGGCGCCGAGGAGGCCGGAGGCCCGGGGCGGCGAACGGCGACGGACGTCCGTCCGAGAACCCTGTCCTGGCGGCGCGAAACAGGCACGTACTTCTTTTGTATAAAAAAACCTGGGTCCCCACAGGTCTGGGCTTATGTCGGGCGTGTCCCCCTACAGGGGGATTTTCGACGAAACATAAAACATACCCCGAAAATGCCCCAAATGAAAAAAATACTCAAAAAATAGTCCCCAGACCATTTGCGGGCCCTTTTTGTGACTATTGTTGGGGTATTTTTTAAATTTTTCGTCGAAAGTCCCCCTGTAGGGGTACTGGCCCGACCTAAGTCTGGGCCCATAACCCAGGGACCTGCTTTTGATCTCGAGCCGTTCGGTTTTTGTTGACGGCCCCGGGGACCGGCGGGCGCCCCGGGGACCTCAAACTGGCAGACTCGGCCGTCGTGACTTCGGCCACGACGCGGCGTCTGGCATGGCCGACCCCTGAGATCCGACGCTGTGAGTAAAGTGCAACATCGTAACCAATAGCAGCAAAAACTGAAGGGGCCCTGACACACACACACACACATACACACACATATATATATATATATATAATATATATATATATATATATATATGTATTATATATATACATATATATATATATATACACAAATGACAGGATCCACCATATTTTCACGTATTTTCAGTGTTTTTGTCTTCCCCCTCACTTCCCATGTCTTCCCATATTTTCTGGTGAATCGGCGATTCATTGTGTCTGTGTGTTTTTTCTCCTCCTGAAAAAACGACTGGAGCCCTGGACCTCATCTTTCTGTTCTCCACCCGTTCCGAGCCGGACCGATCCGCGAGGGCCCCAGGGCTCGGCACCGGGCGAGAAAACGAGAACACCGGACGCGACAAAACTACGACGGCAGGACACCAGCTCCTCCTCCTCCTCCTCCTCCTCCTCCTCCTCCTCCTCCTCCTCCTCCTCCCCCTCCTCCTCCTCCTCCTCCTCCTCCTCCTCCTCCTCTCCCTCCCCCTCCTCCTCCTCCTCCTCCTGGATATGTCAGGGATTGCCGTCTTCGGCGGCGTCGCTGCCGTCTTGCTGCCCCGCGGGGCCGGACTTCCACCAGCGTCTCCTCGTCGCTGTGGCCAGGCAGCTGGTCGCCGTCGTGCACCGAGAAGTTGGCGCCTCTCAGCGGCGCCGCCCGGCCGAGGAGCGCGCGACGCCCGACAAGCCGATCGGCGCAATTGCTGAGCAAAACCAAGACCTCAGGCGAGCGTTTTCTTACAGTGAAGGCCAGCCCACAAGAAACCTCCCACGAGACACCCAACCCCGAGACACCAGGACGTCCATTGATTTCTGGTGTGGGAACGTCGCGCCTTCCGTCACAAAACCGTGTCGAAACCCAGGAAACCCAGGGCACCCTGGAGGCAAGCAGGGTGTTTCTTGGCAGTGGTCTCCGCTGTATTCGGCGTTTCGACATTGGGCAGAGGGGGGGTGGGCAGGAGAAGGGAGAGAGAAGGGAGGAGGGAGAGGAGGGAGAGGGGATAGGGCAGAGAGGCATAAGGATGAGGGAAGAGAGGAGGACGACAGAAGGGAGGAGAGGAGGGAGGAGGGGGGAGGAAGAGGGAGGAGGAGCAGAAAGGTAAGAGTGTGAACGTTCGAGGAAGTCCTACGCGAAAGCGCCGTTCCTGAAGGAACTCTCGGGCGGGAGCCCACGACGGGCGGGCGATCCCCTGACGGGCGGGTCGGGCGGGTGGGACATTCAAGCGGGATGCCTAAGTATGGCGAGAGCGCGATTATTAAGTAAATTGTAACGGCGTCCTTGGCGCAGCGTGTTTCCTGAGCGTCGAAAGCGCGATTTCTGAATAAATTGCATGGAAGTCACAGGCGAAAGCGCAATTCCTGAATAACATGTGAATGGTTCTCTGGCGGGAGCGGGGGTCTTGATTAAATTGCGAAGAAATCTTGATTCAATCGCGATGAAGTTTCAAGCGGGAGCGCCGTTCCTGAGTAAATTGTGAAGAAGTCTCACATGGGAGCGGGGGTCCTGACTAAATTGCGAGGAAGTCACTTGCGGGAGCACCAATCCTGAGTAAATTGTGAGGAAGTCTCCGGAGCGGGGGTCCTGAGTAAATTCGAAGGAAGTCTCAGGCGGGAGCCTTTGTTGTTGCACTCCGGGGGGCCAGGAGCCCAGTTTGAACACCAAGATTTTCCCTGTCAAAAAACAAGGTGCGAGCGTCGAGGGGTGCATTTTGATTGAGAAAAACAGTACGCACCGGTGATGGGGGATCAACAATAATTATTCTTCAGAAGTTTGAGTTCAAGAACAACAACAACAGCAGCAGCAGCAACAACAAGAACACCACCACCAACAAAAACAACTACTACTACAACCACTACCACGACCACTACAACTACAACTACAACTACAACTACAACCACAACTACAACTACAAGGCTCTTGGAACACAGGCCCGATGGGCCAAAACAAGATAGCCTCAGCCAGAGATGTCCTGAGAGCACCCCGTGCAGACCACACAGACAGGCTTCCCAGACCCCCGACGTAATGATCTTTTCATTACGTCGACCCCCGTAGGTCCCGACCCTTTCTCCATGACCGGCTTTGCATCCTGAGTCGTTTTTTGACACTCCCGAGGCCCGGTGAGGGCCCCCCGAGGCCGAAAATTAGGAAAAACCTCCCGTCATGATTATTTCATTACTCGAGGGGCTCTGGCCTCTTAGCACACCTCCAGGCGGGCCTCCCATTCTAGGCAGGCCGGGACGCCTCGCCACTGCTCGACCTCCGGAACGCCGCAGGAAGAAGACACCGGGCGTCCCGGGGGGCCGCGCGCCGGCCGGCCCCAGACCACCTCTCTGCGAGCGGCCTGGCCTCCGACCTCCGCGCGCGCCCGGCCGACGGCCCGCTCCGCGGCCCCTCGAGGATCGATCGGGGATCGCGCACGGGCGCCCCCATCTGGCCGCTGTTTAGAGGGAGCTGCTGGGAGCCAGGGGGCGACAAATTCTCCAAACTCGTTGCGCGTGAAGGCGCGGCATGGGAGCCGCGCCAGGGCAATATCGGGGCACGGGCGCCCCCATAGACACCCGGGCCGGGCGAAAGGGGGGGATAGCAAAGGGCAGGGTGGAGAATCAGCTCACGTATAGCTGATTTTTCCAGCGCCTCCTGGCGCCGGGAGGCGCCCATGTATCGAGGAGTGGGCCCGGCGGCGGGGCCGAAACCAGCTGCATGCAGCAAATATCGTAATCCCCCCTTTTCCCAATCCCCCTTTTTCGTCCGGCCCGAGACACCCTGGTGTCGCAGCAGCAACAACACACGACGGAACGTCTGGGGCAGCACGACGGAGCCAGGCCGAAGAGATAAAGTCGGATGAGGATGAACCGCGAACCTCTGAGATCTGGCGGTTCTGGAAAATGTCTCGGGCGCCGTGGCCAGCTCAGAGCGTTCCAGAACGCTCTGAGGGCGTTCTCCGAAACGCTCTGCAACGGACTTATCCCCGTCCGAACACCGTCCGAAACACTTGCGCCCGCCTTCGGGGACCCTCTCGGAGCCCCAAGACCGTCGAAAACGATTTTGGATGCTTCCCGGGACTGGGTCCAGACCTCTGGGAAGCCACGTCGTGAACAAAAGCTGGACGTCGGGTGCCCGGGTTCCTGCGAAGTCTCCACGCGCTTCTGGCCCCTGCCGGCCTTCTGGACCTCTGCAGGCCTCCACCAGGGCATCTGCGGACGCTTCACCCGTCGGAGCGTGTCCAGGGCCAGGAGCCCGAGCGGCGCGAGGTCTTGCTGGCGGGAAGCGCTGGAAAAGGTGCCCTCGGGACATGCATAGTTCCTGGGCTCTCGCCTCCCCACCCCACTTCCCGCGATTATTTCCCCGCCGTGTGTTCCTGGGAACCGACGCTTTTCGTATCCCGGTACTTCGCCTCCGGGTTGCTATCCAAGGCGTTCCTTTGCATGCACGTCGCTTTCAGCACCGCCTGATCCCGGGGCTTTGCCCTCTCGTGGCCTTGACGTGAGGCCCCGCCTTCTCTCTTCCTTCCTCTTTGTCAATTAAAGCTGTGCGCGGCCCGTTTAGCTTCGACCGGAAGAGGTGCGCGCTCGCCCCGCGGATCAAAAAAATGTTCCTGAGGACCGACGATGGATTGTGTCCGCGCGTCTTCCCACGTCTTGGGACACGCACGTCCGAGTTCACTTGAGCAGGGACCGACCGCCCCGGCATTCCTATGGTCATACCACGCAATGTTCTAAGAACCCAAAAATGTTCTAAGAGCAAATATGTTCTTAGAACATAAAACCGATGCGTTTAAACAAGACAATCCCAACCAGAAATGTTATAAGAACATTTCGTGGGAACCACAAAAGGTTCTTAGAACATTGTCTGGTGGGGCCATAGGCGATACGGGACGCTTCGCCACTGCTTGACGCGAATATTTCCCCATCGTGCGTTCCTGAGGAATTGTTCCGGGGCTTTGCCCTCTCTTGGCCTTTGACGTGAGGCCCCGCCTTCTTTTTCCCTTTCCTCTGTTAATGAAAGCTGTGCGCGGCCCGCTTAGATTCGACCGGAAGAGACTCGCTCTCGACCCGCGGGTCAAACAAATGTTCCTGAGAGCGGACGATGGATTGTGTCCGCGTGTCTTCGCAGGGACATTCATAGTTCCTGGGCTCTCGCCTCCCCACCCCACTTCCCGCGATTATTTCCCCGCCGTGTGTTCCTGAGAACTGACGCGTTTCGTATCCCGGTACTTCGCCTCCGGGTTGCTGTTCAAGGCGTTCCTTTGCATGCACTTCGCTTTCAGCACCGCCTGATCCCGGGGCTTTGCCCTCTCTTGGCCTTGACGTGAGGCCCCGCCTTCTGCCTTCCCCCTTCTGTCAATTAAAGCTGTGCGCGGCCCGCTTAGCTTCGACCGGAAGAGGCTCGCTCTCGCCACGCGGATCAAAAAGTGTTCCTGCGAACCAACGATGGACTGTGCCCGCGCGTCTTCCCATGTCTAGGGAGCCCACAAAAGACGTACGCGCCCAACTATGTACATGAACACGGCCCTTCGATCCGCGAGACCGGCCGCGTTATACGAACACCTGCGCAATGCGTGCTCTCGAAACCAACGTGGATTCATGTACGTGTACGTCCTTCTGTCGCTCCCGAATGTCTTGAGGCACACGCATGTCCGAGTTCACATGCGGAGCACCCAGAGGCCACGCGCCGGACACGTATACGCAGAGGGCTGGCCGGCGTGCCCTGGCGCCGAGGGGCCGAGCGCTGGGGAGGACGTGCGGAGCCGCGAGCGCATCGAGCTCTCGTCCAGGCCGGCCGCCATGGTGTACCTCGAGGAGGAGGAGGAGGAGGAGGAGGAGGAGGAGGAGGAGGAGGCGGAGGAGGAGGAGGAGGAGACGGAGGAGGAGGAGGCGGAGGCGGAGGCGGAGGAGGAGGAGGCGGAGGCGGAGGAGGAGGAGGAGACGAGGCCGGTGGGGACAAGGAAGGCCTCCCTCCCGCCGGCCCAAAAGTCCGCTCCAAAGTCCATCCTCGGGCCCCTCCCAGGGTCCCTCCCGGCCCGTGCTTCGGGGCGGACCCAGCCGTTGCGGCGAGAAGCCTCCAGGAGGCCCAGAGAGGACCAAGCACACCGAGGAGGGCCGCCGTTGTCTTCACTGGCCCTCCTCCGAGCACCCAGATTCCTGGTACCACTGGCGGCTGGCCGCCCGCTCACTCGCCAGTGGCCAGCTGGTGGGCGTGCCCGCCAGTGGCCGACCGCTCGACCAGATGAGTCGTGGCCTACCTCGCCCCGAGGCACTATCTACAGGCCTCCTAGATGGGGTCCGTATAGATGAGGTCGGGGGATCGCGCCGCATCGGCGATGCATCGGCGATACATCGCCTGTGCACTGACGATGCATCGGCCACGTCGGCGACGTCGGCGCGGAGAAAATCGGTCTCCACATCGAGGCGCATCGCCGATGCATCGGCGATGCGGCGCGATCCTCCGATCCCATCTACTCCGACCCCATCTAGGGGGCCTAGACCATCGGCGTGAACGGCCAGCTTAGACAAGCGCGTTCCACTACTCGCAAAGTAACTACTCGCAATAGGCCTGGATCCACCGCAGGGGATCTACGGCGCACTACATCGAGGCAAGCAGGTGTTTTTTTTTCTGACGTTTGCAAGTAGGCACTTTGCGAGTAGTGTAACGCGCTCGGTGACAGCCGCCGAGGCGGGCACCGATCGGGTTGACCTGGCTGCCCTCGAGCACGTCGATGCCGGGCGGGCAGACGAGGCTCAGCGGGTCGCTCAGCGGAGACACGACGATGGGCACGCTGGCGTTGATGGTGAACTCCAGGTCCGTGACCTCAGCGGCGGGCCGGGCAGGTCGCCGGTCACGAGACCAGTCTCCTCCTCTCCCTCCCCCTCCTCCTCCTCCTCCTCCTCCTCCTCCTCCTCCTCCTCCTCCTCCTCCTCCTCCTTGCTCCTCCTCCTCCTCCCCGTTCTCCTCCTCCTTGTGCTCCTCCTCCTCCTCCTCCTCCTCCTCATCCTCTTCGCGCCTCGCCCCCTCCCTGTCCCCTGACCCCCTCGCGTCGGGAACAATCGGGACGGAAGGTTTGTGACCATTTTCTGCCTAGGGGGGCCCTTACGAAGCCCCGCGACCGCTGACGGCAGGTTAAGCAAAGCCCGCAGCGACCGATCTCGCCAGCATCCAACATGATCAGGGCACCCGACGTGGTGCTTGCCTCGCATCGTGGCTCCCCTGAGGTCTCGACCCCATCCCGGGGACCAGCCTCTCTTTAGCGGGCGAGAGAGGGGTACAGTCGGGGCGTTGACCAAAGGAACCTAAATAAGGAACGAGGCCCCTTTTTCCATAAGTTAAACTTCGATTTCCGATCGAAGACATGAGGAAAACCTGAAGCAAGCTGTGAAACACTTGAGGAACACGGAGCCCCTCCCCAACGAAAAGGGTTCCTTGCTTGGCGCCCCGACTGTGAGAGGAACTGCTCCGCCGTCCAGGGCGCCCGCCCCGGGACGGCCGGACTGTGGATGCTCTCCTGCGGTGGCACGTCGGGGTATTCAGCGACCCTCTGACCCAGACCCCCTCGAGTCATGAAAAAATCACGACGGGAGGTTTTTCGCTATTTTCGGCCTTTGGGGGCCCTTACCGGCCCTCAGGACCGTCAAAAAACGACTCAGGATGAAAAGCCGGTCCTGGGGAATGGGTCTGGACCTCTGGGGGCCGCGTCATGAAAAAATCATGACGTCGGGGGTCTGGGGACGGGGACTCCACTATAGCGGGTACTTCGGCAAGTGACCCGGCGAACCCAACGCTCCCCGATGTGGGCAGCACTGCAATGCCAGAAAGAGGCCCCAAGACTGCAACTTTCGGCACAGTTCCACCGACATACCCGTTGGTGAGGACCCGTTACGGTGCCGCGGAGGGGCGCCTGTCCCAGGACGGCTGGGAGGCTTATACTCTCCTGCAGTGGCACGTCGGGGTGTACCCCTTCCCAGCCGCCCTCGGCAGGCGTCCCCCCGACTCAGGAACAGCACACGTGTTGCACCGCTCTTCGTCCGCTAGTTGCTCGGGGCCAAGCAAGAAGCCCTCCCGGCGTTCTTTCTGCCACGACGCGAGGGCGTCAGGGATGGCCGCCCCCCACCCTGAGATCTGGCATTGCGAAACCACTGCGGCATCTCAGCACCCCTCTAACGGGGACTCCACTAACGGTTGCTTTGGCCAGTGACCCGGCGAACCCAACCCTCCCCGATGTGGGCAACGCTGCAATGCCAGAAAGAGCTACAAAAAAGACAACTTTCGGCAATGTTCCAAAAGACCCGTTAGCGAAAACCCGTTACGATGCCGCTGAACATCGTACACGAAAATTCGACCGGAGCCATGGATCCCATCTTCCTGCGCAATGTTTCAAGCTGGATCGATCTCTGAGGGCCACGGTGCCCGAAAACATGTGAAAACGCACGACTCGAAAATTATCCCAGTGCGACCCTACCTAGGAGTTGGAGGATCTAGGAAGGCAACATCTACATCTAAACCGAAAGCCACATCTCTATCTAAATCGAAAGCTTCCTGGGCCTTCTCAGGCGCATCTCGGGGCCCTCGTGGAACAAGTCTCGGGGCCCTCGTGGGGGAGGAAGAGGAGGAGGAGGAGGAGGAAGCTCGGCATCTGTCGCAGACTGCTTTTCCTTTTCCTTTCCTTTGCTTTGCTTTTGCTTTTGCTTTGCTTTGCGTTGCGTTGCTTGTGCTTTGCTTTGCTGTCGCTGCTGTTGCTTTGCCTTTGCTTTGCTGCTGTGCTATGCTGTGCTCTGCTATGCTATGCTATGCCGCGCTATGATGTGCTATGCTGGGCTTTGCTATGATATGCTGTGCTGCGCTGTGCTGTGCTACGCTCTGCTCTGCTATGCTGTGCTCTGCTATGCTAAAGCTCGGCGAAACTAAGATGAAGGTAAGCTAAGCTAAGATAAACCTGAGCTAAGCGGAAGCTAAGCTAAGCTAAGATGAGATAAGCTAAGCTAAGATGAGATAAGCAACGCTAAGCTAAGGGAACGTCACTGGGGGAACCGCGGGGCGGATGCCGGGGGAACCGCCCGGGGCGGGGTCCACTGCCCGGCCCTTTAAGCTTATAAAGTAAGAACCCTTCTAGGCAGAGCCGAGGTAGGGAAAAATGCAACACCAAAATCTCAAGGTCCCGTCGTTAGAAAGCAACTCACGGAATTGTTTGGTCGTCCCAACGGTGCCCATTAGCGCGCAAAGCGGTGCATCTCTCTCACATGCCGCAAGCGGGCGCTGTTGGGCGCCGTTTCGGCGCGTTTCGGCGCTACTTGAACACTACTCAGCGCTACTGGGCGCTCGTGGGCGCTCTGGGGCGCTCTGGAGCGCTCTTGGGCGCTATTCGCCGGTATGCATGCAATCCAAGGCGAGCGGACGCTTCCGTGACTTTCTCGGGCGGGTGGTGACCTAAATGAGGGGTCGAGAAAAGGGCCCCTTTGGGGTATTTTCTTCACCCCCCCACTTGGGTCACCTCCTATTCCCAGAGATCCGACGTCGTGATTCTTTCAATACGGGGTCCCCAGAGGTCCTGTCCCCTCCCCCAGGACCGGCTTTTCATCCTGAGTCCTTTTTTGACAGTCCCGGGGCCCGGCGCGGGCTTCTGGAGGCCGAAAAGGGTGAAATGCCTCCGCCGAACGAAGGATTACAAAAAACCTTCGAAGGGTTTTTTTGCAATCCTTCGTTCAAGGTTTTTTTGCAATCCTTCGTTCAAGGGTTTTTTTTGCAATCCTTCGATTCTCTCGATGCGCTGGATCTCCAGGTGACCACCCGCCCGACTCCCCTCCGGCCGCCGTGCCATTCCACCACGCCGCGAGGCTCTCGGGGCCGACCCGCTGGCCCCGCGGGGCCCTTGGAGAGCCCGGCGCCCTCGCCCCTGATGGCGCGCTATAGGGCGCCCTCGCCCAGGGGCGCCGCCTGACCGGCGCCACGCCGGCGGTTGGCGCGGGCGCACACCCTCCTTGCTGCCCAGACCTCCTCGCGCTGTGGCACAAATCATAACCCTTAAGGCTTTTCGCCATTTTCGGCCTCCGGGGGCCCTCCCCGGGCCTCTGGACCGTCAGAAAGCGACTCAGGACGAAAAACCGGTCCCGGAGAAGGGGTCCAGACCTCGAGGGGGTCGACGTTTTGAACAAAATCACGACGTCGGGGTCAGGACTCGCTGGGTGCTGAAGTTTCCAGTCGCGACCGGCGTGATCAGTCGTTACCAATTGTGCTTCAGATTCTGGTATCGGTCGCCACGGACTTTGGAATCGGTCGCGATCGGTCGCGACCGCTTTGGGATGCCGATCGGTCACTACTGATCGCGACCGACAAAGTCGGATATCCAACGATCTGGGCAGCTGGGAGAACTTGGCGAGCCTCTCCCCTGACATCCTCGCGTCGTGAGAAGGAATCACGGCGGGAGGCGTTGGAGGTCATCGGAGGACGACTCGTGAAGTGAGGCACATCCCTTGGAAGGGATCCAGACCTCGATCTGGCGAAACGCACGTCGATTAGCGACATCGATTGGGAACTGCACCCGCACTCTCGCATACCAATGTCGGGGGAACTGGTGCAGATTCCTCAATCGACCTGTCTGGGTGAGCCTTCTCTCCAGGCCCGATCTGCGTGCGTACTAACAACCTGTAGTCGCCCTACTAAAACCCAGACCCCCGACGTCGTGATTTTGTTCACAACGTCGACCCCCAGAAGTCTGGACCCCATCCCCAGGACCAGATTTTTCGTCCTGAGTCGTTTTCTGACGGTCCGGAGGCCCGGTGAGGGCCCCCGGAGGCCGAACATGGCGAAAAACCTCCCGTGGTGATTTTTCCACAGCGCGAGGAGGTCTTGGAACAACGTGTAATCCCCCTCCCAGAAGCTTCCCCCCTTGGCCGAGGGCATGAAGCCCTGGCGCGGCCTGCTCGAGAGCGACCTCCTCCGTGACGGCCCCTTATATAGGGGAACAAGAAGTGGCATAAACATAGAAACTCGGAGGTCCGCGCGGATTTCTCGGATCGGCGCCAGCGCCGATCCGAGAAATCCGCACGGACCTCCGAGTTTCTATGTTTATGCCACTTCTTGTTCCCCTATTGTACCCCCGAGGCTCCCCTCCTGCCTGCGGCCCGCGTCTTGGAGCGGGGCGGCGGGATCGTCGGGCCGCCCCAGAGGCGGAAGGAGGAGGGCTTGGCGGCGCGCACAAGGGGGGCAGGAGGGGCAGGGGGGCGGCCTCCTTGGAAGGGGGCTGCTCCTCAGAAGGCGCCGGCCTTACGCATGTATACAGAAGGCCCGCGTCTCCTGAGAAGTAGGGGTGTGCTCCTGAGGAGCCTTCCCCCCTCACCCTACTAGAGGAAGGAGAACTATGCACATACACCGATTCTGGCCACGCCCATCCTGAGCCCAGGATCGGTGCATACGCCCTCCCACAGTGGCCAGGAAAGCGTATGCACCGATCCTGGGTCAAGGATGGGCCTTACCAGGATCGGTGCATGTGCATAGTTCTCTTCGCCCTACCTATACCCCCCCTCTGCGCGTGGCCGAATGGAGGTGACGGGGCAGGAAAGATCATGGCGGACGGGTGGACGAGAAGGGAGGCTCCTCCTCCTCCTCCTCCTCCTCCTCCTCCTCCTCCTCCTCCTCCTCCTCCTCCTCCTCCTCGGACAGCAGCGAGGGGCGGAGTGGCGCATCGGCTGCGTCCGGCCGGCGTCCCCGGCGCCAGTGCACCGAAGGGAGCGCCAGGCGGCGTGGCCGACAGCAGCGCCATCCCCCCCCCGACCCGTCCGACCCGAAAGGATCAAGAGAGGGAGAGAGAGAGACAGGGGGGGGGAAGAGGGGGGGGAAGAGAGAGAGAGAGAGAGAGAGAGAGACAAAAAAAAAAAGGGAGAGAGGGAGAAGAGAGGGAGGGCGCGAGGGAGGGAGGGGAGCGGGAGAGGGAGGGGCGCGGGAGGGAGGGAGAGAGAGGGAGAGCGGGAGGGGGGCGGAGGCTGGAGGCTGGGCTCCCGGCGGTGACGAAGAGCACGTCGTCGCCGGCGTAGTTCGGGTCGGGCGTGTACTCCAGCTGCGAGAGGAACTCGTTGAGCTCGTGCAGCGGGGCGCGGTACTCCACGCGTCGGCGGTCGAAGGCCAGGCGGGTGGCGGCTGCCGTCGACAGCGAGCGCACGCGGCCGTGCTCGGTGCTCAGCGCCACCGCGAGGGGGCGCGGCACCATCTGCTCGGCGGCCCGGTGCGACACCTCCAGGACAACGAAGGAGGGATGGTAGGGGGCCACACGCGAACCCTACCCCTACCCCCCGCGATTTCTGAGGGGGAGGGTGGGGTTCAGTCCGCTCGGGAGCTCCCGAAGGGACTGAACCCCACCCTCCCCCCCAGAGATCGTGGGGGGTCAGGGGTAGGGTTCGCATGTGGCCCCCTAGATGGTCCTCCAACGTGATGAGCACGCCAGAGGCGGGCTCCAGGAGGGCGATGGACGGCGGCCTGTTGACGAAATAGCGGTAGACGCTCAACAGGACGGAGACCGTGTGACCCTCATCGCGTGAGCTGTGCACCGTGTTGTTTGCGTACGGCCTCATGCCCGAAGTCATGGCGGCGTACGCCTGCGGAGAATGCCATACGTAGCCAGCACCATCCTCGTCCAGAGAGCGGTCGTAGCAGACACAGTGCTCGAAAAGGCTGTCGAAGGGCCGCTGGTTCAGACCCAGGCAGGGCGGTGGGGCGTCCAAGTCGAATGACCAGCTGCCGACTGGTCTTGCGGCCGTGCGCCCGCTCTCCTCCCCGAGCGAACCTTCGAAGAGGAAGGCAAGCGCGGCATGCTCGTGCCCCACGCCCGCATCGGCCTCGAACATGCTGCACGTGTGGCAGCACGTGGACCTGACGGCATGCCCGTGCGCGGGGTTGCTGCACATGTCGCCAATGTCCGCGCACCCGCGGACGGTCTCGCCCAGCAGGTGTGCCATTGCGATGGCCCCGGCGTCGTCGTCCTCTCGCGGCAAGCAGATGAACGGTGTTGCGGGAGGGCGCCAGCCATCTAACAAGAAGCCCGCGCCTCCCAAACGGCCTTCTGACAGGAACCCCGCGCCTCCCAAAAAGCCCTCCTGCCCTCTTGGAGGCACCCTTTGGAGCCATTTTCGTTCCACAGCAGCGAGCACGCACGTCGGGCGACGATGCGACGGCAAGACACGCCAAACAAAACTGAAGTCACGGGAGAGCCAGGCTGCAGTAGGCGAGCCAGCACGCGAAGACTTGGCTTGTGCGGAAAACTGTGGCAGGATACACTTGACGCCTCGCAGCCGAGGATCGACCAGTGCTCCGAGCCGCGCCCGCGCAGTGGCGTCGAGGGCCTCCAAAAGCGACCAGGAGCCCTCCAGACGACGCCGCCGAACTCGTCCTCGACGTCGCCCTCGTCGCCCTCACCGCCGCCGCCACCGTGGTCACCGCCGCCGCGGTTGTCGTCGTCGTTGTCGTCGTCGTCGTCACCGCCGCCGCGATTGTCGTCGTTGTCGTCGTCGTCGTCGTCGTCGTCGTCGTCGTCGTCGTCGTCGTCGTCGTCGTCGCCGCCGCCGCCGAAGCGACGGGCGCCCCATCCGCCGAGGAAGTCCTCGCAGGCCCGCCGCGGCGACTCGGCGCACGCCGCCAGCTCCGCGGGCGCCAGCGCCCGGCCCCACAGGCGCGCCCGCGACAGCGCCACGCCGCCCGAGGCGCCCGGCGCGGCGCCCGGCGCCGCGGCCGCGCCCGCGAGCGCGAGCACGGCCCCCGACGCGGGCCCCATGAACGCCGCGCGGCCCGCGGCCACGGTCCTGCGGCGGCGGCGGCGACGGCGGCGGCGACGACGACGACGGCGAAGGCGACGACGACGACGACGACGACGACGACGACGACGACGACGACGACGACGGCGACGACGGCGACGACGACAACCGCGGCGGTGACGGCGGCGGCGGCGGCGGCGACGGCGGCGGCGGCGGTGACGACGGTGCCGGGCGCTCCTCGCAAGGCTTTCGGGCGCCTCGGGCGGCTCCTGGGAATATCGTCCTGCCTCGGGGCGTGTTTTTTTGGCAGCTGCGCCTCGTCGAGGGCGCTCCGGGGGCACCCGTCTCTTCTCGAGCGGCCATCAAAGGCCCGAGCTAGGACCCGAAAGCCACACGTCCGGCAACCTGCTGCGCAGGAACAAGAGGAAGCGACACCACCACCGCGGGCGCGAGGAGCCCGGGGGGTCCTGCTGATGATGTGACCCCGTCCCCACGCTCGAGAGATCCCCTATTATCGTGGGGGGCAGTCCACAAGAAACCTTCCACGAGAAACCCAACCCTGAGACCCCAGGACGTCCATTGTTTTTTGGTGTGGGAACGTCACGCATTCCATAGAAAGGCCATCGAAACCCAAGAAACTCAGGGCACCCTGGAGGCAAGCAGGGTGTTCCTTGGCTCCCCCGCTCGGGGAGGCATCGTGGACCCGCTCGCCACTGGTGGCCCCCGTGGTGGTGGTCTCGCCTCCCCCCTTCGAAGCGTCGGAGGGGGGGGGGCGTGCACATCGATGGCATCCACGCCTTCCGGCCACGGCCCTGCGCGCAGGCCCAAAATTTTGAAGGGGCCCTGGGACGCACAAATAAATACACACAAATAAAAGGGTTCCCCACAGTTCCCCATGTTTTCTATGTTTTTGTCTTTCCCCCCCACTTCCCATATTTTTCCATATTTTCCTGGAGATCGACGATTGATTGTGTCTGTGTGTTTTTTCCCTCCTGGAAAATCTCCGACGAGAGGCTTGCTTCGCTCCCGGCGCTCTTCCTCGATGTCGGCCTCTGCATGGGGCTCGCTTCTGGGCCCCAGGGCAAGCAAGGCTCGAACGCTACTTCCTTCCCTACGGCGACTGGCAGGCGTAACCCCGACCAACACATTCAGGACTCCGCGCAGGCGAGGCGGGCGGCCCCCGCGGGTCCGCCCCGAGGCTCAAAAAGAATGGAGACCCACCCGCGGGCAAGCAAGATCGGATCCGGAAAGAACGAACGAACACCCACCCGCGGGGACGGGTGGGGCCGCGGACCCTCGCACTGCACCCTCCGCACCTCCCGCGCGGCGGGTGCCGCGCTGCCGCGGCCGCGGCGGCGGCGGCGACCGCCGAGGCCGCAGCGGTGACCGCGGCGGCCGCACTGCGGCGTCGCCATCGGGAGAAGCCAAAAGGCACAGACGCCGCTCGTCCCCGGACCTCTCATGGGGTGCGTTCCGACCAGAAGTTCGGGGCGAATGCACCGGTGGCGACGAGGGCCGCCCAGGAGGCCCAGAAAAGGGGCAAGCGGGGGCAGGAGATAGCGGTACGGGTACCTTTTCCTCCTCTGACCTTCGGCGAGGAAGGTGCGGACGAGGGCCGCCCAGGAGGCCCAGGAAGGGGCAAGCGGGGGCAGGATATAGCGGCATGGGTACCTTTTTCTCCTCCAACCTTCGGCGCGGAGAAGTGCGGAAGGTGCAGGTCGAGGGGATTGAACAAACCAAGATCGGCGGATGTCAGGGCAGGGAGGGGGCAGGATAGCGGTATGGGTACCCTTTCCTCCTCTGACCTTCGGCGAGGAGAAGTGCGGAAGGTGCAGGTCGAGGGGATCGGACAAGCTAAGGTCGGCGGCTGTCAGGGCAGGGAGGGGGCCCATCGAGGGCGCCCAGGGCCACGGCCACGGCGTGCGGCCGCGCCCGCCCCAACGGCGCCGGCGCCGCGAGAGAGTGCACGGCAGAAGGGGCTCGCGTTCGTTCGCGACTTCTGGCCTCCAAGGGTCCGCACCTGGAGTTAAGTGGGGCCTGTCCCCCCCTACAGGGGGATCTTCGACGAAAGATAAAAGATACCCCCAAAATAATCAAAAAATTGTCCAAAAATAGTCTGGGGACTATTTTTTGAATATGTTGTGACCTTTTTGGTGTATCTTTAGTCTATTTCTATTTTTTGTCGAAAACCCCCCTGCACGAGGACACGCCCGACTTAAACCTGGGGCCGGGGGCCGTCGGCAAAACTGCGCAAGACGAGAGGCCCAAGTCGACAAGGCTCGCCCCTCGCGCCCAGTGGCCCCCCTGAGGACGGCCTCGGCCTGGCAGGGCCGGCGGTGCACCCCCAGACAGGCGTCGGAAGAGATCCGCGAACACTCCTGCCAGGGTTAAAAGTCGGGCCTGTCCCCCTACAGGGGGATCTTCAACGAAAAATAAAAGATACCCCACAAAGAATCAAAAAATGATCCAAAAATAGTCTGGGGACTATTTTTTGATTCTTTTTTTACCTTTTTAGAGTATTGTTGGCATATTTTTGATTTGTTGTCGAAATCCCCTGTAGGGGGACACGCCCGACTTAAACCTGGGGCCCGGGACCGTCAGCAAAGCTGCGCAAGACGAGAGGCCTAAGTCGACAAGGCTCGCGCCTCGCGCCCAGTGCTGCGAGGCGCGCGGCCCTCTCATCACCCTCGCGGGGGCCACCTCTGGGAAAAGGGCGCCCCTCTC